CCTTGAATCAAGTCTGAAGCATAATATGCTCTCATGAAACACGTGTTGGACAAATAACATGCAAATAAGCGAAATCTTACTTTGTAGTCAAGATGGCTTAGATTGGAGTTCTGGCAACCTCTTCCTGGCTCTGTGTGATAGGGCAGAGAATTTTTTCGGGTCTCAGTTTTCTCATCACTTCAATGGGTTATGACAGAAGTACAAATCTCAAGAGTAGTTTTTAAGAGGATTATATGAGATAATACAAGTAATGCACGTAGTACATAGTAAGGGAATAAACGCTTGCTGAATTAATTTTAAGAATGTTGTATCTGTACTCTTTCCTGCTATTGGGACAAGACAACAATAAAAACAGGATATAATTTAAGGCTTGGTGGCAAACAAATACTTAAAAGGTACAATTTATTTGCTTTTAGGAAGCACATGGAGGCAGCAGTTGGTCACCCAACTTTCCTGCCAGGTGCCCTTCTTCCCCCTCCAAGAATTTTAAAATAAGGTCTCTCTCCAAGTGGTAAATGAGTAAGGTATGAAAACCATGGCTTAAATTATTCATCTCAAGATGAAATCAAGAAATAGTACATATTCAGAAGGCTAAAGAGTTTTATGAGCACTCAAAACTCCAACTGAGTGACCTGGGTATAGTCTTAGCCAGGCAGGACTGGAAACGTGACACATTTAGTGACCCAAAGTGTATTATATTATATTTTACCTTGTCTTTGTGTAAGTAGGAAAACAATGCGCAAGAAGCACAAAAAGGGAAGTGCAAAGGGCAAGGTGTAGACAGTGTACAGGCAACACGGTCTGAAACAGGGAAGACACTGAACTTGGCAAACTCTGACCTAGTCCCCAGAGAAGTATGCTTGGTCCTCCCCAGGAGTGGGTCACATGACCTGCACGATCATCCTTCATCTTTGGCTCTGGGTCACACGTCTACAGAGTCACTTTCTGAGTGTTATTTTGTGTTCTCTTGTACCGTGATACTGGAAGCAAATACATGAACTACAAGTTAATATTTTGTGACTATTCACTGTAAATTCTGAGGTCTTACTTGTTTACTTTAATAGACTAATATCATAATATTGTGTGTTGTATTCTTCGGGAAAAGATGTGTCATTTTAGAGCCGAGGACATTAAGAAAATTGGATCAGCTTACCCTGGACCAAGTCAAGTGGTGAATCAGTCAGAGACAAGGCTAGAATTTTCCTGTATCTATAAAGTGTACTTCCTTCAATTAAAAAAATTATGGATAAGCCGGTCACAAAAGGACAACTATTATGTGACTCCACTTGTTTTAGGTACTTAGAGTCGTCAAATTTGTAGAGACAGAAAGTGGAATGGTGGTTGGGGGGCAGGTGGCAAGGCGGGGGAACAGACAGTTGTATTCAACGCGTACAGAGTTGCAGTTGGGAAGGTGAAAAGGTCCTGGCGGTGGATGGCGGTGATGGCTGTACAACAACATGAATATACTTAATGCCACTGAACTGTACACATAAATTGGTTAAATGATAATTTTTTGTTATGTCTATCTTAAAATTTAAAAAAGTTATGGGGAAAAAATCTTTTTTGAAAAAAGTAAAAGAAAATCACCAACAAATAGTAAGACCCCTGGCAAGGTGTTTCATGACTTGATCTGACCGTCTGCAGAGCTCTGTTTAGCCTTGGAATATATTATAACCTCCAGCAGGCCTTGCAGTTCTCCGATTGTACGGTTGTACAATTTTGAAGCAGTACCTAAAGTGGGGGTCAGCAAATTTTATCTGTAACACATTAGATGGTAAACATTTTAGGCTTTGTGGGCCACAGTTGCAACTATTCAACTCTGCCCACATATGGGGCAAAAGCTGCCAGAGATGACATGTAAAGGAATGTAGGTAGTTGTGTTCCAACAAAACTTTACTCAAGAAACAGGCAGTGAACCAGATTTGGCCTGTGGGCTATGTTTTGCCAATTTCTGAGCTAGAGAGTATCCCTGTAAATGTGTATAGACAATAGCAATTAAAAACTTCCTATATCCCAGGGTCGACCACTTCTCCAATTCCAATAACTCTTGATGACTGTTTCAAACCAGAACACTTATAGTGCAGCACCTTAACTCACAATTTCTATGTTTCAGGCCATGAATAGAATATAGTGGTTTAACTAACCAAAAGGGAATGGTATTATCATCATTCTCACCTCACCATCCTCAAATGGCTCAGAGAATTAGAAACTATCTTTTATTCTTTGTAAAGGTTTGCCACAGTCTCATCTTTCTCCTATGTCACAATGGAGAAAGTCTACTAACAAAGAGAAAAGGAATATTAAACCAAAACACTCCCTCCTATTTGCCCAAGAGCAGGCTTTGCCTCTCACCTCTGACTTCAAGACCCCAAACAGTCCTAGTGGCATTTAAAGAGAAAGTATGTTTCCGTTCTACGTGGGATTCTGGAATGCTGATCTAGAGAAACACAGAGGGGTAAACGACCTGCGTACATACTTAGAGATAGTGCTGCAAACCGGCCTGGCTTGGCCAGGTCACGCTGGAGTGTGTATGTGTGGGTATGTCCACGCCAGCCTTGCTGTGGCCGCCTCAGCACCTGCACCCTGGTCTGAGACGAGGCCCTGAAGGACAGGATGGTGAGAATTCGCCGTCTCATCTCCTGTGAAGGAGAGCAGCTGCAAGGAGAGAGGGCACATTTGACATAGGGATACTGCAGCCGTGGGAACTAGATTGGGCCTGACAGACTAAGGAGACACACAGGATGCTCCTAATTCTCTGATGGTGAAAGGAATTTATGCTGACAGGTACTGACAGTGTTCTTCCCTGCTAGCTTTTGGGATGACTGTTACATTCAAACCCTGAAGAATCTATGAACAAGGCAAAAGAGTTTCACAGTACATTTCACAGAAGTCATCAAGACTGAGGTCCATTCACTACCTATACTGTTGAATTACAAAAGAGGAGGCTTTGATATTTCATCATTTGAATAGGAGCATTTTAATTTACTATACTAAGAAACTCAGAAAAACCTGAGGCAGAGAGGTAATTATGTGTATCTGCTCATGCTTTTAAAAGGTAAGTTTTGTCAAGCATTGTTGTTCTTGATTTGAACAACGTATAATGATACTTCACTTCCTAACAATTTTAGAAGGATGATGTTCATCACACGTACTGACAAGGAAGTTCATTGGAAGTTGATCATTATAAATTAGTAGTTCACCATTTCCTTTACAGTATTTCCTGAACAATTTATTCCTTAATCCTTTTTCCAATGAAGTCCACAGTTTTAAGTGGAGTACTCATTTCTACCAGAAAAGGAAAGAGTTTTTGGAACTGAAACTGAAATTAAGAGCATAGGCATGAATACTTCTATGAATGCTCTATGTTACATAAGTTAGTTCACTTGAGAAGTATCTTACAATAAATCAGTCATTAATAAAACTGAAGAAGTAGAAGTCTGGTTTTAGAAGTTGACATTTACAATACCCAGATGCAACACCAACGTGAACGTTTCACACTTTTGTACTTTATTAACACCACTGTTCTAATATGCCACATTCCACACACATTCCACATACACATTTACTAAACATTGAACAGATTTATTCTAAATGTGTGTTATGGGTTGAACTGTGGTCCCTGAAAGACATATTGTTGAAGTCCAACCCTCTGGTACCTGTGACTGTGCCCTTATTTGAAAAGGAGATCTTTGAAAGTATCATCAAATTACGATGAGGTCACACTGGAGTAGTGGGCTCTTGACCTATGAAGCCTGGTGTCCTCATGAGTCCAGGAGAGAGACAGAGAGAACGCCATGCAAAGGCACAGATGCTCAGAGAGACAACTGCCATGTGACAACGCAGGCAGAAGCTGGAGCGGCAGCACCAGAACTGCACGTTCAAGGTCAGGGGCAGCGGGGAGGAGTGTCATTTATACTGCACTTAATTCTATACATTGTTTTGAATCATTTCAAAGGAATCAGATATAGACGACTAGGTACACTACCTGGCATAGAACTGTATACAGCCAAATAGTTAGAGATTACTTGATACATATGTACACAGACATATGCATATACACATGCATGTCTACACATATGATTGTATATTTTAAAGATCACATGGACTACGAACTAGAGATGTGTTTTTCAAACAGCACAATCACACTCATTTTGAACTGGTTATCTCTTTCCTGTTTTAGAAGACAGATACAGTCAAGGCTTCATTAGTAACTGTTGGTGTCAGTACATGCATGGCATCGGATTCGGAGTGCTACACCAGATCGATTAGCATTTGTAAGCCCTGACCCTTGGAACCACGGAAATGGTACACAAGAACACTCCATACTACCTCCGCAAACATCTATAATATTCGGGATCAAATACAGACAGGGAGCACTTAGGAAGTAAAGCTTACTGTGATAGAAATGTGTTTTGTAATATTATCCTTTGAAGATGCTGTGCTGTATCCTTTGTAATGCTTGTGCCACAAAAATTTTCATACGCTTTCCACCATAAAGATAAAACTGAAGTGCAACTTACTCACATCTTTAACAAAGACAAAAGCTTAGTAAAAATTCAAACTTCCTACTGCGTAAATTAAACTTCCTTTTGGCTAAACATCTCATGGTTAAGAGAAAGGAAATCTTCAAGGAAAGGTATGAAGAGAATTCCTGCTTTCATGTGGACAGCTGCCTTCCGTTTTCTCATCCACACAAAGCGTAAACACAGAATTAACACGCATGGGTTAACTAAGTGGGGCACGGCAATTCTTACAGGGATATTCCCAGTTATTTTCCATTTTGATTTATGCCGATTCAATTCTCCATCTTCTCCCTGTCAGCACAGCAGCCTCTGGGTACACAATATAAAATATTAATCAAGAAACAAAAAGGCAAGAAAACAGTCTTCCAGTTATTTCCGGCCTAATAATTCACTTCTTCTGACAATAAGAGTTCTCATTGGCTATTAAGGGACACTGCCAATTAGTTTGACCAAATTAGTGCTGAATGACTGTCCTGCATGAGCATCCTTAAAATCTGTGAATGGAGACATAGTGAAAACAGAACGGACTTGCTCAACGTCACCCTGCCCACTTTTCGGTCTCTCCCTGTGGAGTCTGGAAATGGCGGTGGCACCTCTGAACGTCTGTCTTCAACTCCATCCAGGTAAAAGGCAGCTCCTCAGAGCTTCCTCAAGCTTCAACCCATGAAGTTTCCAACAAGTGGAAACCCAACCCGCATGTCCAAGTCAGCTTCCTAAAGCAAGGCTGCCACTACGTCCTTCCCTCGCCTAATCACGGACGTACCCAGCACCGTGAGACCAACGCAATCATTGTCCTCAGTTTACAAATGAGGGGACCATGGCACAGAGAGTTTGCGTGACAACCAGGATCACGCAGCTCATGACAAATGGAGGCGGGAGTGGGGCCCAGCAAAGCGGCTCTAGGACCGACCGTCCTTGGGCTGCCGGGGCACTTTCCAGACCACTCGGCTCTGGGGCGTCTGTGCGGCCTGGCACCAGACAGCTGCGGCACCTTGTCACCACTGCTTCCAACACAGAACTTCTACTCCACACCTGGACCACGCTCCTGACTGTCCCGCAAACAGAATGTGAACACCAACCTCTAGCCTTTGCTTATACTGCTCCCCACTGAATGGAATGCCCTCCCTCCTCCTCTTCAACATCTATTAAGGCCAAGTGCGACTCTATTACATCTTCCCAAACGGTTCCCTCTTCTAGCCCGTCCGCCTCATGTGGGTCTCTCTTTTCTGCAGGAGAGCAGTGCACCTGATATTTCACCACTGTGGTGTCAGCACTGATGCTTCATGTTGGTGCAATCTGTCTGCTCAGACGGCACACCATCTGAAGGCAGGGCCGGATGGGGCCTAGCCCAGGTCTGTGAAACTAGCAGACGCTCAGTAAATGCTGGCTGAATGTATAGTAGCCCCTAGAGCAGTACAGAAAGTAAAATTCGTGCAGCACACTGTTAGGAAGTAGCACTCTAAGAAATCATCTTCAGACTTTTTGAGTAAAACTAAAGGCGCACATAACTCCCCAAGTACTCTGCTATCTCGCAGACTATTCCACCCGTTAATCAAATCAACTAAGGAGGCACTTCTGTGTTTGGGTATAGCAAGTCAGTCCATGCATATGTGTGCTCATAAACTGCCAGGGACTGATACTCGAGCGATGTTCCAATACAGCACTGGAAATATAATGAGGGATCCAAGTTTGTTGGAATCAAAATGATGTTTTGAAAAAGTTGGTAAGATGGGAAATGAAAATAAAATACATCCAGTTGCCATTCCATTTTGCTTTGGATCATTTATTCAGCAAATCTGCCCAGTACCTACATGTTAAACATTGTTCTGGGCACGGTGAAGAATGCCACCACAGTCTATCTGAGCTCTGTGTGTGTGTGTGTGCGTGCGTGTGTGAAGCAGCTCACCTGAGAATTCTTCAATGTCAGAATAAGAGTCAGAATAAGATATGCTTCTACACCTGAAAGAGAAAATAGATGAAACTTGCTCTCTCACTACTATCACCAAATTTTACACACAATTTTGAGAGGTTATAAAGATAATAGAGATCTGGATCAGAATCAAACATTTCTGATTTTCAGTGACTTTTTTTTTTTAAAGAGAGAATGGCAGAGACCAAACAACAGAAAGCAGGTGTGGTCTAATTGGTACCAGGTGTCTAGCATTCAAGGCACTGAAACAGCTTTTCTGTTTTCCACAGGGGCGTGGCCCCCAGCCATGGCCATGCTTCCGAACACCCTGTGAGTGGCCTGCACAGACCACAGGCTCTGCTGGCTCCGCGCTTCTATAGCAACCAGGGAGCCTCTGTGGGCCACTCATCCCAGACCAGGCTGAGCCTGGTGGCATCTTTGAACAAAGAAAACATAAAGGTACCTACTTGTTTACGCATCTAACTAGGAGATTTCCAGGTTAGGTTTCAGAAGTAAGGTCTTCATAGTGTGGCTATATTAAACACCCTCTGTAACACACACACCACTCAGAGAAGGATAATAAAATTTCTACTAACTCTATATAGTTCTACGAGCAACAAGCATGTGTTGTGACTACGAAAGGCATCACAAGACCTAAGGCACTTTCTGGTAGAGAAAGGGGCTCCAGTAGCAGGTAGATTCTCCACACTGAGGGGAGGAGTGTCTACCACGCCTCAGCAGGGAGGTGCGGGGCAGCCTTCTGGAAGGAAGAGGAGCAGAGAAAGAAGAACACAGAGGCATATGAAGCTGTGAGTCATTCATTCATCAGTCAGTAACTACCCTACCTTCACTCAGGTATAATACTCTCATCAGCTATCTTTGTGCCAGAAATGGCAAAACATACAAATAGTAGAGATTAAAACAAACGATGAACACAGACAAAACATTCGCTTTTGAAATCTTCCAGATTCTGCTAAATGAGCTGGTATGTGGACATGGGTTCCCCATTCCTTCACTCTCCAGTGCTTATTGGTCGCTGCGAACCTAGGATGATTATGTAAATGTTTTATCAACAAGTGTCTTAGTTCAGGCTGCTAGAATAAAATATCATAAACTGGGAGGCTTATAAATAACAGAAACTGATTCCTCGGCTCTGGAGGCTGGAAGTCCGAGATGAGGGGGCCGGCACAGTGGGTTTCTCAGGAAAACCCTCTTCCAAGTTGCAGACAGCAGACTATAGTGTTGTGGCCTCACCTGGCCAAGCACAGAGCAGAGGAAGCAAGGTCTCTCCTGTGTCTAAGGGCACAAATCCATTTCCTGTGGGCTCTGCCCTTTTCAGTTAATCTAACCCTAATCAACTCCCTAAAGCCCACCTCCTAAGGCCGTCCTATTAGGTGGCAGGATTTCGACATCTGGATTTGGTGGGGCACAAACATTCAGTCCAGTACATGAGGAATCCTCTGTGTTCTGAGGCTTCCTCTAAGACCTCCACTGGATTCCTTTGCTTGAAGGTTCTCTTCTTCTATAAATAAGGAAGACCACATCAATTCTTAAAAGAATGGAGTAAGGCGAAATGGAAAAGTCACATGACAGGTGGGTATATGAAATCATGTAGGAAAAAAAGGAGTCCTGGTAAAATTGTAAACGGATCAAACAAAATCACTAAGCAATGCAAAATACCATGTCCATTTCAAATTTTTATAGATGTAGCGGTTGCGAACTGCAGACGGCCAGGATGCCAACCACAATCTGTCTAGAAATGGCTTTAAAAGGGAAGAAGAATTATTTGCCCCAAAGCCACTGAATCTGCCAACGACAGGAAGCTCACGATGCCTGTAGAGCAAAAAGAAAAAAAAAATTGAACATTTATTTTTTGATGAAGAGAGCTCAAATTACTTGACGTTCCTTGGAATCCATGGAGTTCAGTCTGACTAATAGAGAGTGGTGGTGGAGTCACATCCTCCACTGGGCTAGTCGCTGTTTCCCAATCCCAGATGTCAGCAGCTGAAGGCAGCTCCGGGAAAAGGTCAGGATTTCCAGGGAAATGCAAAACGAGCACCAGTGAGGGGAATGCAGAGTTAGTTCCTCCTTATCAGAGTTAGCTGGTTTCTGAGAATTAAGCAGCTGGGGAGTGGCGCTTTTCTCCTCACTGCCTACCAGAGCTCACACGCATTTCGAAAGATCAGTCTCTTCTGTGTAAATGAGGCAAAAATTTCATCCTAAGACAGGGAGAGCAAGACATGTGTTAAGTCTTCCAGATCAGCCTATACACTCGTCCACCTTTGCTACAGCAACTGCAGTCCACCGACCATCAGCATCAGCATCACCAGGGGGCTTGTTAGGAATGCAGAATCTGGGGCCCCAGGTGATTTGTACGCAATTAAAATTTCAGAAGCATGTGAACGTACTAAAAATATTTCTTACTCCTGGGAGTAGATATTTCTATCCCCAAATGCTAGGGACCAGTGCAGTGAGACGGGCCAATCTGACAATGTGAGCATCAAAATGAGTGACAGTAATGGATTGTAACACCCTGATTTATTTATTGTTTGCTTGTTTATGTGTTTGTTTCTTTTTTGATCCTTACCTGAGGACATGTTTACTGATTTTAGAGAGAGGGAAGGGGAGGGGGGAGAGAAATACCCGTGTGAGAAAGAAATATCAGCTGGTTACCTCTCAGATTAAGCCCCCAACTGGCACTGAACCTTGCAGGCTAGGAATGTGCCCTGACTGGGAATGGGACCTGTGACCTTTCAGTTTATGGGATGAAGCTCCAATCAACTGAGCCACACCAGCCAGGGCTAACACACTGGTGTTAAAGAAAAGAATCCATGACTCTGTACGTCCATATTTATAATAAGGAAATAAAACAAATGGATAAAATGAAAGTTCTTAGTATAAAATACCAATTTATAAACATATAAGGAATTAAAGTGAGAAAAATCACCATTTTGCAACCAACATCTTTATCATGGATTCAGGCAAGAATCTCCAGAGACCCTAAAACCATTAGGTGGAAGTTTGTTGGGGAGTCGAACAGTTACACAGTTTTGCAATATCTCTCAACGGGTTATTTCTAAATTACAAAGGGGAAAAGGTACCTTTCCAGTGAAGAAATCTGTTGGACGTTACCTAGACCAAGTGGTCAAATTTCATGTCATGCCCACCTGGCATCAGGTGCCTGCTGAGGGGCTGCACTTAGAAGGTTAGGATGTCACCTATGTCATCTTTCTACCAAAAATGCATAACCTAACTCCAATCATGAGGAAATGTAAAACAAGCCCACATTGGGGAACATTTTACAAAACAAATGGGTATACTTTTCAAAAATGTTAATGTCATAAAAGACAAGCAGAAAGATGAAAGAGGCTTCTTAAATAAATGCAATGTGTGGTCCCAGACTGTTTGCTGGGCTGAGACTTCCTCCCTGTCGTTACGTGTATATTGTTGTTACAAAGGACATCAACAACACAGGTCTGACATGAGATAATACTATGGTATCAATGTTACGTTTCCTGAATATGGTAACTGTGTCTCCTTTTAGGTGAAACAAACTGAAGTACTTAGAGGTGAAGGGTCATATCTACAACTTATTTTGAAATAGTTCAGTGAGAGTTATAACAATACACATGCCTAGAGAGAGAGCAAATGTGGCAAAATGTTAACAAATGTTCAATGTAAGTAAAAGGTATGCAGATGATAATCGAACAATTCCAGAACACTTGCTGCAGATTTTGAATTTATCCAAATAAAAAGTTAGAAATGGGAAAAAAAAACCCAGTGAAAGTTAATGCAATCACAATTGGCCCCCAGAACCTTCTAGAATACAGAATACCATCACCAACTGCACCCCCTCCTTACCCAAAGCAGCCTTAAAATTGAATACAAATGACAGACTGAAAAAAAAGATTTTTAAAAAGTTTTCTTTCTAGGAAAAAGCAGGTTCTAGACTACAAAGCCCCTTCTTTGAAAATGCACCTTCTAATTCCCTCTACTGTGTGCAGTGGTGTGTTACCATCATAGGAAATAGAGCCCTGTTGTCATGAAGCTCACACTCTAGTAGGAGGAAGCAGACAAGGGACAATGTCAGGCAGCTGTTGAGTGCAGTAAAGAAAACTGAAGCTGAGACGGACTGCGGGGTGGCAGGGGGTGTGTGTTATTTAAAACAAGGTGGTCAGAAAAGGACTGTAGTCAGGTGACACTGAGCAGACAGACCTGAGTGGGGTGAGCCACTAACCTGTGCAGGTAACTGGGAAAAGAGTGTATCGGACAGAGAGGGCCACGTGAATGTGCAAAGTCAGGAGGCAGGATCCTGCTCAGCTGGAGCAGGAAGGGGAAGGAGAGGGCAGGAGCAGAGGTCAGAGGTCATGCAGTCCCTCACAGGCAACCATCAAGACTTTTTGGTTTACCCTGATAAGCTAGTTGCTGCCTCCCACCTTTTCCATCTGTCCAAAGTCCTGCTGCTGGCCCGGGACAGCCAGCTCTGCAGTCCTGTCACAAAGGGAGCACCAAGGGGAAGCCACCAAGTTTGCTTGGCTGCCTGTAAGCCTCCGAGCAGGCTCCTCCTTTCTGCCGACTCCTTCGTAGGGTATTTCCTCCCCACGCCAGAAACACACCCTGTCTAACTCCTTACCCCCTTCTGCACTCTTTTAACTCTCCAAGGTCTCAGAAATGTTCCCATTGGTTTGAGAAGTTAAGAACAAAATGAGCCCTGACATAGTTGGTGACGTTAAGAGTTACGCTGACGACACCCAGTGCTGGTTCCTGCAGACGTCATCATTGCTTCCCGGGAGTCGGGGTTTGAAGGCGATGAAAGCAAACACAGCATCAGTGCCACGAGCATAAAAATGTCTTTGCAAAAGCCCAGAAAGTGCTTCAGAAAACCACTGTACCGACCTCTCCACGCTCCTCTAATCAAACCCATTTTTCTTCAGGTTCTGCTGGGAAGCTCCTTGAAGGCAGGTGTTATCCTGTTGTCTTTTATTCCTAGTGACAAGGACAGAGCCTGGCATACAGCAGTTCTTCAATAAATATTTATGGGACTATTTTACAAAGACTAACATGCCAATTTCTCAGTAAACTGATAAAGACTGCCAAATATTACTACACCATGCCTTTCATCGCTATGAACTGCAAATGTACCATAGTGATTCGGATGCACTCCTGTGCATGGTGTGCTGCTCAGCACACAGCAGAAACTCCCAGGTATTTGATGGATGGAGGGATGGTTAAATGAGTTCCACAGGCCAGCCCACATCTCAGACAGCAGTTGTGTGGGATGGACTGTGAAACTCATCATTTATGATATTTCTAACATTGCTTCTAGAGGAGAAGGTATACCTTGAGCTTGGTTCATAACAATCAGTTTGTATGTGGACTCTGGGATGCAACCCTGTCACTTGTAACGTTGCCATCCGGGACCGCAGGTATATTTCCCCTCATAGACCATTTGCGCGCGG